CCCCAAAACCCCAAAACCCCAAAACCCCAAAACCCCGGAAAGAGAATTTAAAATTGAAGCTTTAAATCTTAATCCCTCATTCTTGAGGTTGTATATCCTGGTTTTACATTTTCCTTATCTTCGATATCAATCCTCGAAGAAGATCTATGACTTCGAAGAGGAGCCTTGGCCAATTCAGAACTAATGATTGACACATTCCGAATTATTTCTGGTCTCTTAGAGTAGACCTTGATTTCTTTAAGTGTGAAGTTAGCAGAATTTTGAAGTTTCATTTTGAGTTCACCTGGCAGAGATTTTATATAAGTTAAAGAATGACCAGTATTCGTGACCTATTGAGTGAGCTCGGAGTCTTACCTTCTGAGCAGCGTTAAACCTTTTACATTGTGATCTCTTGAGTTCAGGCTTTGGAGTGTTCTCATCTCCATCTTTCTGTGAATTTGACATTGGCCTGATAAACTGGGGCTGGTACGAGAATGTTGAAAACTCTGAAGGATAAATTTTAGCATTATCATCTTCTTTCTTATGTTTCTGAGGTAGAACTCTACTCGAAGGGAGAGCTGATGGGAAAGTTTCGGTATTACTCTCAATTTCTCAAACAAGGTTCGACTCAATCTCTCCATTCTGACTAAAAATATTGCAGTCAAATACAAGTCTCTCCTTGTTAGTCTGATCATTGTCTCTGTAAAAGTTCTGGCTACTACTTCTAATGCTTAACGAAGTGGCTTGTTTGTGAATATTATTTTTGAGATTGACAACTACAGGAGTGTATCACCTCTTCCTCTTTTTACAAGTTCTTGCAATTTCTGGGATAACTTTATTTATCAGGAATATTTTTAGTGCTCTAGGGATTAATTCATTAAACTACCTTCATTGGCTTCTTCGGGTCTCTAGTTGGTGGCTTTAAAACATTTGATTTTTTTCTGTGTTTTCTCTTACTAATCTCTTTTGATTTATTAGATAAGTCAAGTTTGTCTTGTCTTTTAGGATTTTTGTCTCTTACTGTCCCAATTCTAGGAATCTTAGTACCCTCATAAGATTTGTTCCTTTTCTTCTGAACTTTCAGACTATTCTCTACTATGTTTTTAGCTATGCTCTTTTGTATTTGGTTATTTTGGTGAATTCTGTGGATAACTCTTGATTTTCTATTTTTCTCTATGAATTATATGAAGGTTTTACCTATGTTTTTGCATACTATTGAAGCAAATGAGCTGTTTTTAGAGTTCATTTTTGAGAAATTATGATCACTACATTCATTCTGGCTCTTCTGTTCATTCTTGATAAAAGATTTTAATGTAATGTTGCTACTGAAGTTGGATTGGTCATAATATAGATCTGCATTGAGAAGCTTTGGGATATCATCATTAGAGGAATCTCGATGGTTAATTCTAAAATATTAGTGCATAAATACCTCCGAGGAACCCTTTCTGTTTTATTTGGAAAAGCTCTGGACTTTGTAGCCACCTTTCTTGAAGTAGTGTTTATGTTAAGGAGCTTAGATTTAGCTTTATTTCAAAGACCCGATAGTTTTTATTGTGTTGCAGTTTGTAACATATGCTTTTGGATCAAATTTCTCAACTCCAATTCCTGAGTTTATGTTTGACCTTGTGTCGAACTGGGTTGAGAGCTTCTCAGAGGATTTCATCTTCTTGACGCTGGTAGGGTAAATTGTCTTAATAGTGGTATTGGTTTTAAATACATCTATGAAATAGAGTAATTGATTACCTCTATTAAAACTGGCAGAGAATTCACTTCTTTGGGAAGATAGAATTTTGTTTGCCTTTTTGATAAATCCCTGCAATACTTTTTCTAAAGATTAATGCTTTGTGTTACCTCTTGTGGTGGAAGTCCATCTTGAAAATTTAGATGCTTCAAGTGATTTACATGTTCTAATCCTTGTTCTATTCCTTGCTTGGACTTTTTCTCTGAGCGCTTGACTAATCTTGAGTTGTGCTTCAAATGGTTTTGCGCTGAGATTAATCTCACTTGCATTTCTATTGCATTTAAACTCATCTTTGGAGTAGATAGGTCTAGGTGATCCGTCTTTAATTGTGTCATTTGATACTGGATTATATGCCCTCCTATGCTTTGGCTTCAGCATCTTTGTGTTCAGCCCTTTGGAAGAGGGCCCTATCTTTACAAATTTTCATAGGTTCTTAGATGCCTTTATGTTCATGACATAACTCTGGAACATGTTCTAGATTGATTAGATATACTATAATGTATAATAAGCTTACAGATTTTTCTTGGTCAACAGGATGGAAAAATGTATTGAACGAATTAGGATCAGAAGTCTTCTTTTCACAAATTGAGGTACTCTCATCAATGAAAGAAAACTCTGGATCTGAGCTAGATTCTGAAGAGGAATTTTGATATCTGCTTGATTTCCTTTCTTCTATGAAATAGTTATGAACTGTAAAGTTGATTTAAAGTTTTATTGACAACTTTCAATGCCCTCAAATAGTTTGGATAAAGCTTTATAAAGAGTGCATCTGAAAAACAAGGACTTTTATAAAAGAATATTTTAAAACACTTAGTTTGATTATTTAAAGTGTCTTTTATTAACTAGTAGAAGATGTGCATACCTTTAAGTAGCATTATATTCCTTTTGTGGGTCCTTGAAAATGGGTTTTTGTTCATTTTGCAATAAATTTAAAATAATTTAAATTTCAATCAGTTTAAATTTTAATGGGGTTTTGGGGTTTTGGGGTTTTGGGGTTTTGGGGTTGGTTTTGATAGTTTTTGTCTGTATTTTCGAGTTTTGAGCCAGGATTTTGTGCTTATGGTGATGAGTTTTATTGAGGATATTAAGTATGTTAATGCGAGGAGTGTGTTAGTGCAGAAGATTAGCCCTCAAATAACTTCAGATATGATTTGTAGACCAGAAGAGTTTATAGATGATATGTCTTTGTTTGATATAAACAAGAAATATAAAAGAGATAATAATGTCATGCTCAAATCTGTGAGGGCATATATAAAATTGTCAATAGGTTCTTCAAATGGCTTCCATATCGATATAAAACAAAAGTGAGCTAGGTGTGACCAAAAGTAGAGTCAGAATTGAGCATATTTTTCTTTGATGAGCACAATACAAAATACAATAAGGGTCCTTCTGATAAAGAATACTGGAGTATACAGCCTGCCTGCAGCTTTGCTAGTATCCACTCCAGCGAATAGACACTCAAATGGCCCAGGAATTTCATATTTTGGGTCAGACTTCCAAACAAATATTGAGACTTTGACTCCAACGGCTGTAAATATGAGTACCATCACAACAGCTGTACAATACGAGAATATTGAGAACCCATTGCTAAAATTAGCTTCGAATAGTTCTTTTGCTGATATAATCATCAAGAACAAGAAAGCTTCCAACAAAAATTGAGCATAAAAATTGTAATACAGAAATTTATACAGATAAAGTCAAATCTTTTCTGTGAAGCTGAGTTTGTAGAATGGGGAAACCCTTAATTCAAGTATATTTCCTTTGGACTTAGCTAAGCAATTTCTTCAGAATGGTAGAATTTTAATAATCACACAGAGTATAGCAATAATCATGAGAATTATTACCATAACTAAGTAGTTTGCAATAGTGCTTTGGTAGTTGATTTCGATTTTTGAGAATCTGCGGTTTGCGTCAGAAAGGACATTTGAGCCAACAAGAGCACCAGTATTAGGAATGGAAATTAATCTCAAAATACTCATATCTAACTTGAATCCCTCAAATATCATTATTAAGTTGTACACTATTTGAGGCAACTCATAATCCAACAGAAGATATGTTAGAAGAAGCTGAAAATATTCAGAAACTGTGAATAGTCCCTGAAATGAAGATCTAGGCTTCATTTGGGATAAAATCACTGAGGCTCCTACAATACCCACTGTGGCAGAAGCTGATACTATTCCTACAACTGTGGCTGTTTCAGAAGTAATAGTTGAATCTTTAAGAAAGCATTGTTTTCTGTCTGAGATCTATATTTTAGATTTTTTAACCTTAATCAAGAATATAGAAATCCTTACCTTGTAGTTTTCCTTACATCTGAGTCATGTGTTTGCAGAGTCTCAGAGATCTCAGTTGGAGTCATCTCAACCCAGAACATTCACAAACAAGTTATATTCAAGAGGAGAATAATTCATTGTTGCTTTGATTGTAAAAGAGTAGTTCTGGTCTAGTTTTAAAGCCTCTCCTTCTATAAATCCAGTGTCTGGATTAAAGCTGAGCCATTCTGGAACTGAATCATTGGAGTCCAGTATCTGCACCGTCAGAGGGGCTGGGTTGAAGGCTTGCTTGAGACAAAACAAATTTGAGATATTGACATTACTGTAAGTGTTCACTTGGAAACTCATAGAGTTGACTCCAATTTTGTACAATGGAGTTGACAAGAAAGAAGAACAAGTTGAAACTGGAGATTTAGTTACAGTTGCTGAGACTAGAGTAATGCTAACATCAGAAGAACTCTTAGTAGTATTATTAATCGAGAAAGCAGAATGTGCCCCGTATGAAATGGTTGAGCTCAAGACTGTAGAGAAAGCTGATAAAGAATAATCCTGGCACTCAATTAGTTTCTGCTGATTACCGATTTTATCCTTTAATATTTTTAAAGCTGAGTAATCAGAAAGGGAATGAAACATGTACTTATAATTTAATGAATCATAAAGGATGAAATGTTTATTGGAGTTAGTTTCATTTCTGACAAATCATTGATAAGTTGATGTCTTTATTGACATAAAAATAGTAAATCCAGAATCATGGCCAAAAATACTCAGAAATTCGCCTCCTTGATTATAAAAGCTGAGTGATGTAATTTCGTCAAAAGCTTGGTCGAATGCCCTCATCATAGTGATCTGCCCTGTTGCATCTATTTCAAAATAAATTAGACCGTGTGTCCCATTAGTGTCAATTGCAACTACAAAGGTATTGTTCTGAGTTCAATATATCTTTGGGTAAGATAGTGTGCTCGTAGTGGCACTCAGGTCATAAGAATGCTGCTCTATGAGATCATTTCCAGACATCGAGTAATAGTCAATTGAGTTAAGTCCAATGAACAACGCGCTTCTTACTGTATTGCTATGAAACTTCGTTATTTTAAGATTGAAAGTATTAAGCCAAGCTCCAAGCTGATAAACTTTGGCAGCTGATGGGTTTGATACAACATTATACGAAAGTATTCTGAAGTTGGAGATTTTCTCTCCAATTATAAAGATTGTGTTGTCTACATGGTATTCCTGTTCGGCAAGTCCAACTATCTTTAACCCAGATCCACCAAAACTCTTGGAGTGGATTACAGACCCAGTTGTCGAGTTTAGAAAAACGATAAGGTCCTCTCCCATAACTGCAAGATATTTGTTGGGAAGTAATTGCAATCGCTTAATCTTCTCTGATATGGTATAAGCACCTCCAGATATGTGAGTTTCAAAGCTGACCTCCCATGAGTTACTTATTGCAAAAACAAACATTGGATTTGCTAGTACAAATATCTGTTCATCATCGCTGATTATAAAATCTACAAAAAGTTAAACCATCTTGGAGTAAAGATTCCTTACCAAGCATCTCAATACTTGAGCTTGGAGAATACTCCAATTTCATATTTACGCTGACGGGTTCATTGCTAGCTGCTGAATCTCAAGTTGGAAACACAATGTTTTGGCTCGCAAGAGCCAAATAAGCGAAACTGAGGGCCTACATTGTTGAATCTATTATCTTACAAATAAGATTTTCATTCTGTCAGAAGACATTACTATTATGTATAATTATTATATAGTTAGTCATAACTTGTTCCAAATAAATAATTACCATAAGGGGTTTTGGGGTTTTGGGGTTTTGGGG